TAAGATTTTAATTTGTAAAATTTTGTGAAGATATTGACATTCTGACGGAAGTTATTAACAAAAACCCATTTTCCGGGAATATGCACTTTTGTATGGGAGGTATATGAAATTGTTGACCGATTCTGGCAATTTTCAGCAGAACTAAAGCCCTTGTGTAGAAACGAATGTATGGTGATTTTCATGGAATTATCTTGCATAGTTTTCGAGAAAATTACATCAGAATGTGTAAAAAATGCTTATTTTTTTCGAGGTTGTTTCAAATTTTGATTTATAACTTTTTCCGGTGTGAATCGATTTTGCTTATTTTCAATACCAAACTGCCTAGGACAATAATAAATATTTTTGGTGAATTTCGTTAATTTTTGTTGCTTCGTGTTAACGTGAGAATGTTTTATACAGACAGACAGACGGACGGACGGACATAGCTAAATCGACTCAGAATTTCATAAGGTCCAAGAATATATATACTTTCTTGGGTCTCAGATGAATATTTCTTGGTGTTACACACGGAATGACAAAGTTATATATACCCTCTATCACCACTGATGGTGGTGGAGGGTATAAAAAATTAATTATTTATGACAAAAAAAGATAAATCGACCAGGAATCGAACCTGCAATGCTCAGTTTGTTAATTCTCCCTTCCATCCACTACACCACTTCATTATTTTGCCCTTCGTTAACTAATATTTTTCATATAAAAATGCCATGTTATTTTCTGTTTGTACAAAACATTGCTGCTGAATAACTTCTATCAACACTGATGTTGCTGAATAGCATAAGAAATTAACAGTTACACTTTCTCAATGTGCAAATTTTATTTGATCTTGGGTTAACAACAATTTTTTACACAAACAGGAAAGGGAATTTCTATGTGAACATTAGTTGCAAACAATTACGAAGCTAGTTAATAGCGTAGTGGGAATGGCGTAAAACTAGCAACTGGGAGATTTTAAGTTCGAATCCTGTTCGTTTTGGGCAGTTTTTATTTAATTTTTTGAGAAAAATAATCAATTTTTTAATCCCTATGGGTGGTACAAGAAATTGTGGACTGATTTCGATTTTCAACGCAGTGGATTCCCAAACTATATGTATGACAAAATTCAAAACTAAATATTTGTGCCAAATTTTTTATGGATATCATTATTTGGTAATTAGTAATATGCGTTTAAATTATTCTCGAAAGGGGACTTTAAATGGGAGCTATGACCAATTATGGATCGGCCGTAAAAAAAATTATAATAAGTTTTCTGTAGATAAAAGCAATATTTGTGCCAAATTTTGTATGGATATCTTTATTTCGTAAAGAGTTTTATGCGTTTAAGTGATTCTCGAAAGGAGACCTTGTATGGGACCTACGACCAATTACAGACCGATCGTAAACAAATTTTACAGTATCATTTCTGCATATAAAAGCAATGTTTGTGCTAAATTTTGTATGGATACCTTTATTTGGTAATGAGAAATATGCGTTTAAGTGATTTTGAGAAGGAGACCTTGTATGGGAGCTATGACCAATTGTGGACCGATCGTGAAAAAATTATAATAAGATTTCTGTAGATAATAGCAATATTTGTGCCATAGTTTGTATGAATATCGTTACTTGGTAATGAGTTATGTGCGTTTAAAAGTTTTTCGGAAGGTAACCTTATATGGGAGCTATGACCAATTATGGACCGATTCAGAAAATTGTTTCTTTATGTGAATTCTATTGGCATAGAATTTAAATTTGTAAAATTTCGTAAATATATCGGCATTATTTCGGATGTTATTAACAATAAATTAATTTCGGGGAATATGTAAATTTCTATGGGAGGTATATGTAATTGTGAACCGATTTTTCCGATTTTTAACAATGTTGATCCAAAGGTATATCTCTGACAAAATCAAAATCAAAAAAAAAAATCAATTTATCTGCAGTAGTTTTTGTAAAAAATACAAATAAATATGTGAAAAAGCACAATTTTTTTTGGGTTGTCTCAAATTTTTACTCATAACTCTGAACCTATTTCATCGATCTTGCTGATTTTCAATACCAAACTGCTTAGGATATCAATGAATATTTTGGGTGAATTCCAGATTGACAGACATATCTAAATCGACTCAGAATTTCATAAGGACCAAGAATATATATACTTTGTTGGGTCTCAAATGAATATTTCTCGGTGTTACAAACGGAATGACAAACTTATATATATCCTCTATCACCACTGATGGTGGTGGAGGGTATAAAAAAGAGTTTCATATATATTTATTATTATATATTATAGGTTTAGAAGATGTAATGTGTCGTACTGTTCATTCCACAATATTTATTATAACAGATTTCATGAAAATCGCATCAGTAGTTTTTGTATGCCTGAACGTAAATTTGGTTTAATAATTTTTTAACAAAGAGTTGGTGTAAAAAGGGCGTGACGTCCGATCCTGAGATAAGACCTATCGGTTCAGTAGTTTTCTGTAAGCCTCGAATTAAAATTTTGTATAACAATTACATATATAGAAAAAAGTGAGCATAAGAAGAATCGTGACGTCAAATCATTATTTTATTTAGCCTATTGTTCTAAATTTCCTGTAAATCGGTTCAGTAGTTTGTCCGTGAAAGCGTAACAAACAGACTGTCTCTTTCATATAATTATAGGATAAGTAATAGGTAAGGGTAGTTTTATAAAAAGTGGGCGTAGAAAGGGCGTGGCATCGGATCAAGTTCTTATATATAGCCTATAGTTCTTTCTTATACCTATCGGTATGCGAAATTTCAGGTTAATCGGTTTAGTCGTTTTTGCATATTGTGATTGCAAAATTGGTATAATAATAGTTTAAAAAAAATGGGCGTAAAAAGGGGCGTAGCATCCGATCAAGATCTTATATTAGCGGTCCAAATTTCATGTAAATCGTTTCAGTAGTTTTGCCGTGAAAGCGTAACAAACAAACACACAAACAAACAAACAGTCTGCTTTATATATATACTAGCTATACCCAGTGTGCTTTGCTACCCTAAAAGGAATATGTATAAATAAAAATCCCAGTTAACGATTTTAAAGATCCTTACTACAAGCAAATTATTGCAAGTTCGCCAGTTTCTATCTATCGCCAGTTTCTATCTATCTATAAAAAATTTGAATAATATAAGAGTTTCCAAGATGCACGAAATTTTGTATTTAATTCATATATGTTGTGTCAAGCCACCCATTGAAAGTCCGCCCGTTATGCTCCCCACATGAAAGTCCAAAATGTTCAGATGAATACTAAACTAATTTGTGCAAAATTTTATAAATCAAGTTCTATTAGTTTCCCAGATAAACGAAATTTTATATTTAATGCATATGGGAGGTGCCAAGTTCCCCATTGAAAGTCCGCCCGTTATGCTCTAAATGTTTTCATGAATTTCAAAGTTCTTCATGTAAACTTTAAAGATTCTAGCTCTAATAGTTTCTCAGATATACGAATTTTTCTATTTGATTCATATGGGGGCTTCAAGACCTCCCAGGTGAAAGGCCGCTTATTTTCCTCCAAAATGTTCAGATGAATATTTAAGTTCTTCGTGCAAAATTTGAAGAATTTAGTTCCATTAGTTTTCCAGATAAACGAATTTTTGTCTCTAATTAATATAGGAGGTGCCGCTCCCCTCAAGGGTAGTCCGCCAATTTATTACCCAAAATGTTTAGATGGATGTTCAAGTTATTCGTGCAAAATTTGAACATTCTAACCATAATAGTTTCCAAGATAAACGTATTTTTGTATTTTATTTATATGGGAGGTGCCAAGCCCCCTACTGCTAGTCCGCCTACTTTTTGTCCTAAATAATTAAATTGACACTAAAGTTGCTCCGACAAAACTTGAGGACTCTAACTGTTATATTATCTAAAATATACGGATTTAATATTTTCTTAATATGGGCGTGGCTCCTCGCTCACTTGGAATTTCAAAATAAAAAGTAGCCTATTACCTATTCCAGACATACAGGAATACGCTGTGAAAATTTGAATAAAATCGGTTCAGCCGTTTAGTAGTCTATAACGTTCAAACATACAAACACACATTCATTTTTATATATATAGATAGGATCACTCTGCAAATATTTCTCGGATCGGTTCATAAATGGTCATAGCTCCCATATAAGTCCACTTCCGAAAATAACTTAAACGCACATATTTCATTGACAAAACTAGATACCGATTGGTCCATAATTGGTCATATCTCCTATATAAGGTCCACTTCCCAAAATTACTTAAACCTAAATACTTCATTGACAAAAAATATTTCTCTATAAAATTCGACATGAGTATATTTTGAGTATATAAAATCCGACATGAGTATGTTTTGTGTATCGATGTTTTGTATCAAAGTATCTTACAAGTGGAGGGTATTTAAAATTCAGTATTGCCGAATACAGCACTATAACTTGTTTTTGTTTTGTTTGGATAGGGTCGGAAAAAAATAAATAAATTTAAATTTTATAAAATTTCTCTCTTTTTAAACACACTGTGGTGAAGGAAATATAAGATTCAGCAAAGGCGAATATACATACATATACTTCTTACTTGTTATCATTAAAAACAAAACAACTTACTCAACAACTTAACTCCCTATTTGTAAGAGAGCGTGGTAAGTACTTACCTCCATTGACATCACCGTGTTTAAATAATGATTTAAAATATATAAGGCCTCTTTTAAAAAATTAAATACAATTTAACATAAATGTTTTACTTCGTTTATGGTCCACAACTGAAAAAAAATGTTATATATGAAATCTCTTTGTCTACCTTGTTGTAGCTATAAATTATATTTTTTAGCTCAGGAGATATTCCCCAAAGCGCCCCTGGGTTTTAAAGTTAAAAAATTAAAAACCCAATTTTGAGATTCGCAAAAATTAAATACATACATATGTGTTTTTCTCTGACACATTTTTTGAAAAAGTCTTCTATTTTCCAAAAGGGAATGTAATTCTAAAAAGTAGATTCAATATTCATCCATTGATATATAAAACGTCTTGTTCTATTAACATGTAAAATTAAAGAAGACATATTTATCTAATTTGTGACTTACCCTTAAAAATCGTCCGCGAGCATTTTCTTTTAGATCTAAATAGTATCGTCTATTGTCTTTAGTCATCATTTCTGATTTAAGTTTGCCATCTTCAGGTACATTGTCTGGATTTGGAGGACCTGTAAAACATTAAAACATTATTAATGTAGTAATAAATTAATTTTAGATGTTATTACCCAATGAAGCATAGTAGTCGCTAAACGTTGATAAATGATCCCGGAATTCAGCGGCAGTTGATAAAGCCAAATAAACTTGGCTGCGTCTACCATCGGCTCCAATCTGTAAAATAGAAAACAGTTAACAAATTTCATATTATTTAGTTCTTATTAATAGGAACTCTATATACACTCGCGATAATGCGAACTAACTAAAACCGGTGTTGTTCACGTGTGTGATTTGGTTTAAAATCGATGTCTTCCAATTTTTTTAAGCTCTGTTTTTTTTTGCTCAGAACAAAGTTTACACAATTTCCCTTAGTGGGATACAAGGGGCTTATGTAAAAAAATAATATTTTACTCAAAAAGCTTGCTTTTTGATTTAAATTTTTTTATAGATATCCAACTCTCACCCCACTAAGTAACCACAAAGCTCTTAAAGGAAATGGTCTAAATTTCTATTTAAGCTAAAAAAACAAGTAAGAGTGTATTATTCGACTATGCCGAATCTTATATACCCACCGTAAATGGAATGCTCCCCTACAAACATTAGGTTGATATTTGAAATAGGGCTTAAGTCAATTATGGACACATCCCTTTCGGACTAACAAAATATTAACTTTTAAAAACAAAATATTTTTGTCCAACTTTAAACCATGAACATGTTTGGGCGGTCATTCGGGGTCAATTATAAAATTCGGTAGAGAGATTTTGACTTGTAAGAAATTTACCCTATATGGGGAGTAGAGTCTGAAGGGGGGTGGGATAAATTATGGATCGATCCTCATAAGATTTCTTATCGTGAAAAACTTACTTATATCGAATTTCAGTGCTAGACTCGCATTTTTAAGCCAGCAATGGCCATTAAATTCATTTTTTGGAAAGGACCATATATGAGGGGTAGGGTAATTTACGGACCGATCCTCATAAAATTTGGTAGAGAGAAATTGGCCCATATGACACTTATTTATGTCAAATTCCATCACTATACTTGTATTTTTAAAACAGCTATGACTGTTATAAGAAATAAAAGAAATATTTGAAAATTTCGGAATCTATCGTGCTTTCAACAGACAGACGGACAGATATGGCTAGATCGTCTTAGATTTTAATAAGGACCCGGAACACATATAGTTTTGTGGGTCTATGATCATCAATAAATCAATTATACTTCCATCTTTTTTGATGGTGGGTATAAAAAACACAAAAAGTTCCATTTTGAGAAAAAAAGGGAAAATTAAGTGGGAAATATTGAAAAAAATCTTATTCTTGAGTTAAAAATATTTTTTTGATAGATATCCCACTCGCATCCCTGAGCTGTATTTGAGCAGTAAGTAAGAATTAGGAATCAAATTAACCAAAATCAATTTGCTTATTGTGATTCCCACGACTTCAGATAATACTATATTTCTGTTGACAATTAAATTTTCTATATTTTAGTTAAAGACTATTTTTACATATCATTAGTTATTTTCACTAATATTTTCTAATCTTAATATAGATCGTAACGATAACAATTTTGTATGGTAGATCGACTTGGAATCCAGTAACAAATTGTTACAAATTACTTAGAACGTGAACTGACATAATGTTAGTAGAAAATTTAACCTTCTATACCATCCCAGCAAAAACTCGGTAAAGGGTTGTACTTCCATAACCACTTACTTTTCAATGACTACTACTTACCGTCTGTTTTACTTAGAAGTACTCTAGTAATGACTTTCTTATAATCTGATATAGAAGTACTTTATTTTTCGGCTTTATCATTTTGTTTGCACATTTTATTTAATTGCGTTTTTAAGAATTGTGTTTTACAAAAAATAAAACAAAATTAGTTTTGTATGTGAAAACCATTATTTCACGCGCAATAAAATAGCTAAGCAGTGGTGCAGTGTGTAGAACATTTGACTAACAAACCAAAGTCCCTGGTTCGTATTCAAGCTTGCTCTTTTTATACCCTTCACCTTCCTGAGAAGGGTATATATAAGTTTCTCATTTCAATTTGGTATAAGTGTTGCCCATATGCACAGAAATATTCCCTCCCGAAAATCACTTAAACGCACATAACTCATTACCAAACATTGATTTCAATACGTTTAGCAAAACTATTGCTCTTATATACATAAATTACACTATAAAATTGTTTTACGATCGGTCCATGTTTGGTCATAGCTCTCATATCAGGTCCCCTCCAGAAAATCACTTAAATGCACAAAATTCATTACCAAATAATGATATAGATACAGAATTTTGAAATTATGTCTTTATTTACATACATAATTTCATAGCTCCCATACAAGGTCGTCGTACGAAAATCTCTTAAACGCACATTACTCATTACCAAATAAAGCTGTTGATAAAAATTTTGGCACAGATATTAGTTTTGTATACAAAATTTCAAGATTTTTTCACGATCGGTTCATAACATGGGTGCGGTCGGTCCCGTACAAGGTTCCCTTCAGAAAATCACTTAAACACACATTACTTATTACTAAATTACGATATAGATACAAAATTTGACTGGACTATAGCTTTTATGTAGAGAAATTTTGCTTAAAGAATTTTTTTACGATCGGTCTATAATTGGTCATATCTCCCATACTAGGTGCTGCCCCTAAAACCGTATTTAACTAGTTACATTATCAATTTGTGTAGAACAAAATTATATATATGTATTTTGAAGATCCTTAAATCTTTCACATACATGCATACATGCAAATTACTAAATATCGCTAAAGGGCGCTATAAAAATATAAAAGAAAATGGCATTTGTAATGTTTAAATCTTGAGAAAAACTTATTTCTACAAATATTTGATCAATTAGAAAAGTTTAATATAGAAGTAGCTGGTGGAGGGTATTTAAGATTCGGCTCAGCGGAATATAGCACTCTAACTTGTTCGTTTTACAAATGGTACTTTTTGAATTTTCTATAATATTGAACCTAGAAACATGAAATTTAGCATGTAGGGCCCGGATTAGGTGAGAACTTATAAAAGGGCACTTTTGGTACTTTTTCGTTCTCCAAAAGGTACTTTTTGAACTTCCTATAATATTGACCCACTCACAATTTATTTTTCTTACCAAAGTTCCGACAAAAAACTACCAAATCTTTCCAAAAACTACAAAATTTGGGTTTTTGGACAATTGTTCATAATAAACATATTTTTCGTTAAAAGGAGTTATATGGCTGTAGAAGAGTCTGAGATCGTAGAAAAAAATTGATACTTACAAACGGAATCACAAAATCAATATACCCTTAATATTTTGTACCCATCCAAAAAGATTGGTGTATATTTTATTTGTGATTCCGTTTGTAGGGTAGTGCCCCACCAAATTACATATTATTCATCCATCTGGCTTCATAGGGAAAAAAATTAATTAATTTGGCCTCCAGTAGGTTAGTGGTTTTTGTTATAGTCTGTTAGACCTGAGGTCGTGCGTTCGATTCATATTGTGAACCTTCGGATTTGATGTAACATCCTTATTTCAAACTAACTAACTTACTAACATTCATGAATCAGAAATGCTAAAATACATAGAAACTTAATATTTTCTTAGAACCATAGTGAAACAATATAAACTTAAAATTGACGTATTTTTTTAAAATCCTTATTACTTTGCCATAACGAGTTCAGAAATGTTCATAAATGCATATGCATGAGTTCAAAATTATCTCATCCTACCAAATTTGGACCAAAATTTAAACCTACCAACCAAACTACCAAAGGTCATTTTAGGGATTTAAAACTACCAAATTTGGTCCAATTGGACCAAAGTGGCAACGCTGATACTGACCCTAGAAACGTGAAATTAAGTATGTAGGGCCTGTATTAGGTGAGAACCTATAAAAGGGGATATTTTGGTACTTTTACGTTCTTCAAAAGGTACTTTTTGAATTTTCTGCAATATTGCACCTAAAACATGATATTAAGCATTAAGGCCCGAGATTAGTGAAAACCTATAAAAGGGGATTTTTTGGTACTTTTTCGTTCTACAAAAGGTACTTTTTGAATTTTCTATAATATTGAACTTAGAAACATGAAATTTAGCATGCATGGCCTTGATTAGGTGAGAACCTATAAAAGGGGACTTTTTGGTACGTTTTCGTTCTACAAAAGGTACTTTTTGAATTTTCTATAATATTGAACCTAGAAACATGAAATTTAGCATGCATGGCCTTGATTAGGTGAGAACCTATAAAAGGGGACTTTTTGGTACGTTTTCGTTCTACAAAAGGTACTTTTTGAATTTTCTATAATATTGAACCTAGAAACATGAAATTAAATATGAAGAGTCCGGATTAAGTGAGAACACATAAAAGGGGACTTTTTCGTTCTACAAAAGGTACTTTTTGAATTTTCTACAATATTGAACCTAGAATCATGAAATTAAGCACGTAGAGCCCGGATTAGATGAGAACTTATAAAAGGGAAACTTTTTGGTACTTTTTCGTTCTCCAAAAGGTACTTTTTGAATTTTCTATAATATTGAACCAAGAAACATGAAATTTTGTATTTATAGTGAGAACATGTAAAGTGGGACTCTTTAGTACTTTTAAGTTAATACAAATCTGGAGGAAACGATTTTTGCAACATGTTTGTTCTATGAATGATACTTTTTTTGGTTTTTATGCAGTTATGCAACAACCTGATTGATCGAAAATCTGTAAAAGGTGACTTTCTGATACTTTTTCGTTTTACAATTGGTATTTTTTGATTTTTTGTAATAATTTTTTGTACTGGCTATTCTATTTAACACATCATGGTGAAGGGTATATAAGATTCGGCACAGGACTCTTACTTGTTATTATTAAAAAACAAAACAACTTACTCAACAACTGTTTTGTAAGAGAAATTGCAAGTACTTCTTTAACTCCCTCTTTGTAAGCGTGCATAGAAGTACTTGCCTCCAATGACATCACATCAAAATAATGACTTAAAATGCTAATGAAGAAGTAGTGAAAAGACGTTTTATTAGCTTTTTTACTCATTACTTTTCAATGTAAGTTTTTCCTGGGATATTTCTATATTAACAGTTATTGTGACTTATCGGGTTAGGTAAACTGTTGTATACATTCTATTCTTTCTATCAAGTCCAAAAAAACTTTCTTCTTGTTTTAAATTTTGAGA